TTTTTTTTTTTTTTTTTGGCGTTGGCTATGCCAACGGCCACGTCAGTGGTCACATCGTGTGCCCCCCCCTAACACGATCTGTCGAATAACAGACCCAAGTTCGACCCCATCCGAGACCAAAAAAAGAAAAATTTTGGTCTTTTCTCGATTTATGTTTGTTATCTTTGAGCGGGGGCCACTTTGATTTGGGCGCGGCAGATCTCAGCCGCGCGATCTTGAGGATCGCGCGACCGAGATTGGCCGCGCCCAACTGCCTTGGGCTGCTCCAAAAGGAGCTAGCCCGGTAAGATGCTTGCAGCCAAGGTTGATCCCGGTACCAGATAGGTAAGAGTCCTCTGCGATAACCTACTGGGCTAGCTCGTATCATGATAATGACAGGAGCGACTCGCCTATGTGAAGAGCTCGCCCAGTCAGGTTTCCCCCATACCGTGACCTTGCAGGTTTTGCCTGCCCGCTTCTTCGCTATGGATGGCTGCCCATCCACCACTCCGGGCCCGTCCATCGGGTAGGCCTCGGTATAGGCCTGCTGGCCTCACCCTGGCTCGAGGTTAACCCGGCGGCCAAAAAAAAAGGAAAAAAACCTTGCTATTCCTCTCGCACCGTAGCCCTATACCCTGCGCATCCCTCCTTTTTAGCCTACTTAGGCCCTAAATCGCGCGGCTTAGCAGCCGCTCGACATCTTTTCGGTAGAATAAGTCTAGTCTCAAACTTTCTACGACCGCCCACCGCTGCGACCATGTCGAGACCCGCGGACGACAGGCCATACCGCCGACTCCCGCTGTCTCGAACGGACGCCGTTGTCGTCACATGTCAACGACGTCATACATCAACGACGTCAGACTTTAGGTTTCGCAGTTATAGGGTTGGGCTGGACAACTTTTAACAACGTCAATCTCAACCAGTTTCTCAATCCCATAAAAAAATCGGACAGCGACTGACCTTGACAAACTCGGGCAGAAACCCTTATAGGGGTTTTTGTCCTGACAGCCTTCCCCGTCCCATGTTAACAAAGCAATACAAGAGGAAGTCTTTATAAGATCTCACCAATTATATCACATAATCGCATTATATCTGAAATTAATCCAGATCTTACATACTCACTCATGAAAAGTGACGTTTCCGTCGTTCATCTTTCTTTCCTTTTATAATCACCTGGATACTCTTCTATGAAATACTCCATACATATTTCATTACTCACAATACGCCAAACATTGACCTACTTTTAATCATAACAGAGGCTTACTTTTAAGCCTTAAACAGATAGAGGCTTACTTTCAAGCCTTCAACATACAGAGGCTTACTTTCAAGCCTTTTGATTCTTTCGAATCTTCATTCGAAGGCACTTTCATTCAGTCACGAGTTGGAATGGGGCCAGAATTAACCTCTGGCGGGTCTTTTTTCCGGAACCTGGAATCCACCGGTGGCTTTATCCAACCTGAGGAGTTACAAGAACATTTCAGAAGAATGATCCCAGTGTCATCCCACTGGCGGCCACTCATTCTCTCTTATTGTCTCTCATAGATGGGTCAGGCTTATCCCCCTGTTGGGACTCTCTTCAGGCTATAACCCCCTGTTTAGGTCTCGTCAGGCTTAACCCCCTGCGGGTCTGTCGTCACACAGCACATACTGCCAGGAATTTAACCTGGGCCTCTCGTGTCCATGGGGGTGCATTCCTAACACCCCAGCATGTCTCTCGCTGTCAGGAGTTTAACCCGGGCGCCCCACGAAACACAAGGGTACTCACACTATACTACAACATGTGCCGGCACCATCCCAGAGAGAAATCACCCTTTCCAAAARTCCTTRTCCAGYCCGGCTAATTCCCACTCCAWCTTAATTGTCATGCACGATTTATYTYCTACRTGTATTGTGAATGCGTCGAGGAGTGGTGTAATCCATAGAGGATAACATCTCGACGTCAAGCCYCGCTTTAGACTCGAGCCTCACCACTTTCCCTCCGATTCCAGTGTCATACATCTGTTAGTACCGTACCCACAAGGTTGAACTACCCCTCCCTTATGACCCAAGCTGATCAGACCCGGCCATAAAGTCGAGGCGACCCCATTCACCACAAATGAAAAGGTGATCAATCTTTCCCTCATGGCGAGCGGTAATCGCCACCCTCACAAGCAAGGTTCCAACAAACATATTACCACCTTCCTCCCTTTCGACGATAGTGCAGTTATCCGCCCTGAAAGGAAGGATAACAGCATCCCACTATGGACCAGGAACAAAGTTCCGGCGCAGGCCTCACTACCGTCTACGGGGCTCACAACATTAGGATTCCTCATTTCATGACAATTAACACAGAGTCAAGTCATACGGTAAGATAAATAATTGAATCACAAGTCTGACGAATAAACGCATGTTAATCCAGTCAGGCATATAACTCAAGTACAAATCATCCCCTAAGACTCGCACTGACGAATTCTTACATTCATAATCACATACACGGAGTCCCATAAGAATTTCAGGGTTTTTTTTTTTTTTTTTCCAGTCCTTCTCATATATGATATGAACACTTCAACAATAAATTCTTACATTCATAATCACATACACGGAGTCCCATAAGAATTTCTGGATTTTTTTTTTTTTTTTCAAGTCCTTCTCATATATGATGAACACTTCAACAATATAAGTATCCATCAGCTATTTCACAATACACTTCTTGCAATGAATATCCAATCATGATAAGAATCTCACAAAGTCCTTTGGTATCATAATCATCTTGCAACAAGAGTCACAATCCCGTTGATAACTTTTCAACCTCAATACTTCAATTAATACTTTACAACTTTCTTGGTTAGCCTAAGACAAAAGTCTGAACCAACTGAACCATAATACAAAAGAAAAAAGGTTACCAAAAATGATGCTACCATTTACCTCCTCTACCCTTCCTTTCTAAAAGTTTTAACTAAACTCTTGGGATAAACTTGCGTAGATGTGCACCCGATACCCAATTTCTACTCCGAGATCCATCCAATTCCTCTATTTCATATGCCCCATGTTCTGTTTTCCTAGTGATCCGATATGGTCCTAGCCACCGACTGTCTAGTTTTCTGGACCACTGTTTTTCTAGCGACCTATCATACAACAAGACGATGTCTCCCACTTCCAACGACTCTTTTCGTACACGTGGCCTTGTCCAATTTTTCTTATCAGCCTGCCTGCTTTCAGAAGTAGAGACAATCGCGTCTTCAATTAGTTCTTCAGTCACCATGATATGTCTTGCCCTCAATTCCAACAACTCTTCTGTTGAGAGTTTTGTTTCCACGTCCTGTTTCTGCCAAGTGGTCAGGGAACTCTCAATCGGAAAAGTCGCATGCCGTCCGAACCATAATGTGACGGGAGCATACCCGGTTGTTCGCTTGATGGTAACATTCTAAACAAAAAAGGCTGCCCTCAAATAAATTGGCCATCTTGATGGTTCCCCCTTGCACCATTTAGCCAACAAGTTAGACAAGGTGGTATGTCCTCGTTCCACGGGTGCACTGGCCTGGGGATGCGCTCTCGTCGTATAACTGAAACTCACCCCAAGTCTCTTTAAAAGCGTTTGCACCTCCTTTGCTCGAAACTCGCCTCCTCGATCCATAACAATCTCTTGAACAAATGGATAACGGAGGTAATATTCCTCAATGCACTCTGCCTAGACTGATCCTGTACGTTCGCGAATGGCACGACCATCAACAAACCAAGTCAAATTGCCCCGTGCATCAAAGATGTATCTGTACCCATTTATCCCAGGTGACATTCCCAAAAGATCCAAATGCACCACCGCACCTGGTTCTGCCACATAACATGGATTCAGGGGCTCGAGGTAGCGGATGTTAGACCTCTGCTGGCAAGGGAAACAAGATTTACAAAAGTCAATCACCATCTTGCTCATCCCTTCACAAAAATAAAGACGTTGGATCTTGTTCAAAGTTACCCGCGCAGATCTGTGTCCGCCGGGTATCCCATCATGCAGGGCAGCAATTACATCCAACTGCCGAGAGATCCCTCATACCACCCTCTTTGGGACACCATCAGCAAACTTCTTAAAGAGATGACCGTCACGAAAAACGAATCCTTTGCTTTTCTCTCGCACAACCGGATCAACCTCACTTTCGCCCAATTCCCCATTCAACCACATGCCTATTTTCTTATATTCCCCTTCGTACTCCTTTTCCTTAAACGCTTCTTTGACCTCACCGCCTCCTTCCTCCRCATTCATTATCCTCAGGCGATCCTCGTGAACCAACAAATTCATGATATATGACATCCTTCCAACGATCTGGAAAGCGTCATCAGCCCGCGTATGGCCCTGTTCAATCGTTAGCGGATCAAGCATAAGGTCGATGTCACCGGTCAAAGCCAGCCTCATCATTTCCTCTGCGGTCTGCTCGCCCCATGGATCCTCGTCGATGAAAGGTTCCTCCACCACGAGTTCTGTACGTACCTCGTGAAAGGCAGGAGCATTCCATATCGATTTCCCATGGCGAGTGGCTGCATCAGTCAGGTAGGCAAGAGTGTTAATACTCAATCGCGCCTCCTCTTCCTTCAGAAAGGCATCGACTGGAACTGATTTTTCTGCCTGATCCGCCTGTGGGTCCCATTCAACCCGACTCAACCCATCAGCACGATTATGACTCCCCGAAATCCGCTCGATTTCAAAGTCAAACATCCAAATATAAGTCAACCATCGTGCGATGGTGGGATCAGCAGGTGAATAATTCCTTAAGGATTGAGCCAATGAAGTCGGATCCACCCGCAGGATGAAGCGTCTACCGAACACATAATTCTGAAAGATGCGGAAGCAGTGAAGCATGGCCAAAGTTTCTTTTTTGAACTGGGAATAGTTTCTCTCAACAACATTCAGAGTCCTGCTCTCAAATCTGAGAGGTCTTTCCTGTCCCTCAGCATCCTTCTGAATCAAGACTCCTCCCAGGGCTGTGGGCCCCGCATCAGTCTCAATAACAAAAGGACGTTTTTCATCATCGTCGAAAAAAGGAACTCCAAGGATCAATCCRCCCTYACGAAACTCAGTCTTTATATCCTCCACGGCCTCTTGTTGCTTCGGGCCCCATTMCCACTTCTGGCCCTTGCGCACAAGCTTTYGCAAGTGCTCCACTCTGGCGGCAAACCTGCGGATGAAGATGCGCCAAAATCCACAGGTTCCGAGGAAACTTCGCACATCCGTGATTGACTTGAAAGGGGTCGGCCATTCCAAGATTTTATTAGTCTTCTTCGTGTCCGGTCGGCGACCTTTCTCGTCGCAGAGAAATCYTAGAATCAYTGCTCTCTTCATACAKTGTCGAGACTTAATCYCACTAGCTGTRAGATTAAACTCCTTCAACCTCTTAAGAACTTTCACCAYATCATTGATATGTTCCYAGACAAATCRGCGAATGCCCGGCAACACCTCCGTCAGGTCTTTYGTAYGAGACCCTGGGATAGCCAAGTCGTCAATRTACGRCGAAGTTATGTTAKGACAATAAGGCTGCATAACCCTTGTCATATATATATCTGGACAATGRCAACGACATTTGTCCACCCCTGCGGTGCCACACACATATGGATCAACCCGCGAGGAGTATGSATCGCCATCTTGGGCCGATCCGCAGTGTAAATCGGGAATTGATCATACCCARAATATAAATCGATGAGGGTAATGATAGACCTTCCTGCACAAGATTCTRACAGTAGGTCTGCATRTGGAAGTCCTCCTGCATCTCGCACTGTCACCGAATTCAGCTTYTGGAGGTCCTGAATCCATCGCAGAGTACCATTCGGTTTGATGAAACAGAWYCATGGAGATGCATACGGCCTGTAAGAATAATCTRCAACCTTTGTCYGAATCTTTCCATCGAGGTATGCGACCACCTTACGGTGATCCTTCGGGTTCGGATAACGTGRCCCTCTTACATTCCATGGCTCATGTGGTACARTATGAACTCTRATCATCGGGATTTTATCRACATCCARCCTTCCTCGCTCATCATCATCAAACGCATAGGAGAGATGTTCCTCCCTCAATATATCGATGATGTATCCCTTTTCCTGCTCAGTAAGGAGGTCCTCCTCCCCAATGATCATACTTTCCACTCTTTCTTTGGTTAACCGACATGGCCCCTTTTCACCTCTCTTTTTCATTTCTCTGATCCACTCGTGCTCCTCACGATAATAGACTTCCTSCWCTTGAGTGATCAGAACAGGSACCGGCTTCGYCTTCACRCCTACTTTSKTGTACTTACGTTTGRTGCCGGTGTCAAGCCTGCGTCCTCTAAAAAARGACCRTGTCGGGTGRAGGGCRATTCCTGATCTTCTCCCTTATTCCCCTCCGACGGGGAGTAAACGAGGCGCATAGTTCCTACACTTCCGGTGTCCGTGATGATTTCCGTCAAGGCTTGCACCACATTTGGATCAATCGCCGCATGTGTCGACACAAAATCGATTGCCTGCCCAATATCAGGCAGGGTCAGCGAGAACTCACGAGCATTCGGCTCCTCCCCTAACGATTCCTTCTCCCRTCTCAACTTTTCTGACTCCGGGAAGCTATAGGAWTCCGGGTTCARCCGGTTCCACGAGCAATRGGGTCCAGTGTTCRCACACTTGACCACTTCATAATAACCGCAGACAGGATCAYAAAGGATTACAAACATGGTTCCATCATGCTTGTTAATGATGATGCTCTCCRATCGACATAGGARTGCCCTTCCCAGAACCACCTCGTGTTCCACTCTAGGTAMCATGTAGAAATACGAACGGACCTTGACCTTTCCGATCGTGACGAGAACGCCACTGGCTGTTCCACAAAATGGAGTTGATCCACTAGCTCCCACCAAAAACCCATAGTCATCTCGGTTGATCTTCAACCCAGCTTCGATGGCATGGCGCTCACGAATGATGTTCATCTCRGCTCCATCATACACAAGTGCCGARTACTCCTGCTGTCCAATCTGGACCTTCATATGGCCGGTCGACACACTTYGCCARTCCATCTTTGTCCCAGGCGGGGACCAGTTAGCCTCCGRCGGAATGATTTCGYCGAGCTTAACAGTCATGACACTCTTACGAGTCATCCGCTGTTTAAACTCTTYTYGAATTTTYKRCGATACCGCCAAAATTTYMTTTAGCGTGACCAAGTCRCGCTGACTTTCCAGAATCTTATTAACAAGTTGCTCGATATCGACCCCCTGCTCCACGGGGATCGAATAAATATTCTTCTTCTTTCGTGGCTCCTCCTCGCTTACTTCGGCCTTCCCTTTCTCCGGCTCCCTTCCAGTGCACGACGATGAACCCGTCCTTCCTCTTCGGCCCGCAACTTCTCGTCCTCATTGTCCTCTTCGTTCTCACTAATGGAAATAGGCCCTTCTTCCAATGCCTTTTCAGACTCTTTCTTCTTTTGAAGCTGTTCGTTTCGTCGCCGCACCCGAGTCTGAACGGCTACAGTCGGGGCACTCCTCTTTAGCACAGGCCTAGGTCGCATCGTGCTTATCATTGGCCCAGTTTGTGATGTTTCTCTCAGAGTCGATGTCCCTGCTTGGCCAGACATCTTCCCTTTTATCACCCCATTCGCCAAAGAGAAAGACATTCGGCAATCCAGGCCAGACTTCCTCCATGTCCACATAAAGTCGGATGATAGAGTCCCGGCATCGGGCAAACCGCCTAGTGATGGTTTGCGCTCGTTCCACTACTTGTTCCCTGAATCCTTCTGGCTCCACCAGTGAGTCGTAGATATGCAATGACGCCATGACCTCCACGACCTCGGCCAACCGTGCTTCTTCAGGAGAAGCAACCCGGAACGTTGCYGGTAGCGGACGACCCATTCGGCAATACGCCTCCTTCCTCATACCCCCTTCAATGTTGGGGTCGATCGAATTCCCTTCGTAATCAAAGATTTCACCACGTATAGTGGTGAARACTATCCCTTCCTGCTCATCTTTTGAAAGGAGTTGGCAAAWCCGCATAATATGGCCCTTTTCTGCGCAATAGTTACACGTAGCTTCCTGCTGCCACGCCCAACGGCTTCGCTGTCCGTTTCCACGGCCTCGACCGCGGCCTCTTCCACCCTGCGGCTGGAACTGCCATTGATCTTGGGAACTTTGTCCTGACGAACCAGTGCCAGCATTGCCACTCCCTCCTTGATTATTTTGTCCATCGTTCTTCCCCTGTTTACGGGAAGTCCCCTGTCCGCCTTAAATTTGATTCAAGACCTTCCTCTCCGCCTTTGTCAACTTGCGAGGCGGCTCCTTTTCTTCCTCGCTCTCACTGTCACTTTCTTMTTTCGTCGGCTCTTTCCCCTTCCTCTTACTATTTTTCCYTTTGGCCAACATAACTTGAAGCTTCAGCCTTTCCTCCTTCATGCCCTCCATCATTTCTCTCATGCAAGTCAAAGTTTTGTAAATTTCACCGTCCTTTACTTCTCCCAGCKTCACCTTTTCCCGCTGCTCCTTTTGCTGCCTCAACAGCCGGTRGAGGATATCGTCGAACTTCCCCACCARCGCATTCYGCCGGACCTTAGTCCAGTCATACCTCCCTTGCATCCCTTCAACCAATTTCGACTRTTCRAMGTCGTTGAAGTTATCAAGGAAGATGAGGCAGCGATCTTTGTCGGACAAATCCGGGATTAGGCGAGCCACACGCTCAAACTCCGATAAAAATTGTTTGRTTGTACCAAACTTTTKACGATCCACCRCCCTCAAATCCTGCAGGTCGAGCAACCGATCGCTGAGCTGATACTTCTCCAACAACCGCGCCTTAAAATCTGACCAATYGCGAGAGATCTGCACCAGCTCATCGATCTCGTCTCSGTACCCCACCTGACAGTACCTTTTTACCATGCGAAGCATCTTCTCATCCGTCCATTCGTTGCTATACCYGAGTTGCTCAAACTTRTCTGCCMAAGAAGAGGCATGATTCCCATCGAACAATKKRACATCAATCTTGGGGTAGGGCTCTCGCTGCGACTGCCGAATGACCCGTSCCAATTCCTGAATATCGTTCCTCCCATCGTCAACGTTGTCGCGACGTCCCGCGCCACCGTCCATCTAAAAATATAAACCCAAGAAATCAGTCTAGGAGTTTTGGTGACATCTATTAAGGTTCCTCCCTTACATTTATAGAGGCTCAGAGATTACTAACCTTTTTTCTTAGACAACCACTACGRCACAATCTTTTACTTGCTCCATTCCCGAGTGTCGTTCCACCAGGGACAACGGTAGTTTGSCGTTATCCTCGACAACGGCGCCACCTGTCGAGCGCATCGRCCCMYGCGCGAGCGAGGGCCCTCCCAGCCRCGTCAYGCARGAGAAAYTTARCTTTYCAACTTTTTAGAGACAGYTYGGGGACAACACGGTAACCCGCGTCGACCCGTCGCCGCTCCGGTCGAGTGCGCCAGCTGTRCATCCCGCGGTCCCCTACGACAGGACAGGTTCTCGCGGGGCACAACTTACCTTCCCTAAGGGGCTGTCACCACCCTTAGGGGCGTATCCCCGCCGAGCTACCRACCCACATGCGAAGGCTTTTATAATGCAGTTGCAGAGGTGGGCCGGCCGAGGGCGTTTGCTCGTTCGCTGTAGCATAGGTACGCATGGTTAAACGCCAAAGTGGACCCGAACGTCGTCTGTCCCTGGGGCGCTGATCTCCCAGGAATCGGACCGACGTCGGTCGACTAGGACGTGACGTTCCAAGCGTAAGGAAGACTTCTAGCGATCCTAGTCCCTTCTTTCGAAGATAATCAAGAGTCACTCAGACAAACMCTTTCAAAAAAAAAAAAAAAGACTCAGGTCAACGCARGTTGACTTATCTTCCAAAATCAACTTATATGTAATACAATCATGCATACGACAAAGGTTGACTTGGCTTCAAACAACACCTATCAATAAAAGCTCAAAACATGACCAATACACAAGGCGACACTCAAGTGGCGTCTGACTAAAATATCTTCGCTCTGCCTGCCAGACGTCTGGACTGTCACGACTTTTTCGACTGGATGAGATGCGTTGCCAAGTTTTTTCATTCCACCCCATACTGACTGCTAGCACGAAATATGAGCGCCCCAACTCTCAAGCAGAGTTAGAGTGTCATTGTTTTAATGATGACTTCACACTTTTCCTCTAACTTAGGTGTGAATGCCATCTGCAAATAACTCGGGTACCATCTATACAAATCAGCGACCAGCTCGAACAATCGGACGCTCGATGCCCCATTACGGTCAGCGATCCACCTTCAAACTTTGTTGATCGCTCTGTCCTCCTCGACAATAATTACTCTCTCTGTTCCAAAGTACCTGCTTTCGACATGAAGATATTTACAGCAATACTCTATTCACATCATCCCGTCAACAAGTGTGATCACCTCAGGTTCGCACTTCTTATGGTGCAACCCTATCCGCGAAGATAGTGCCTAGTCGCACTCCATTCATAGCTAGTGAAAACACGAACTGGGCTTCTTTTGGCGTCAGTTCTCCATTCGTSTGTGGCTCCTMAGAMGGCCACAAAGGGTAAACTATGACGGTCCTCCTTAGCGCAAGCCGACAATGACTTAACGTCTTCCGTGAATAGAGAATGTCCATCCCCTAGGAGGTGGTCTGRGATACCCCTCGTCCTTGCCCGAGTGAACCTCGGATCTCAGAAGTTGGGCCGGCTCGGCCACAACAGCATGGTATCCCCCCGCAGTGCGGTCCACTCCGAGTCGATCACAGGGCCGGTCCCTAAGGCAACGAACCCCCGCCTCAGATGCCTCCTGGGGAAAGGAAACGCCTCTACCACAGCAGACGATCAACCCCTTGCCGCCTGACGTCAATGTGAACCTAGACGAAAAAGAAGATCWYAGAGAAGGAAAGCATTCAGACAGACGGCCATAGACAAAGGTGGTCATTCGAGAAAGAATGGGTAACATCTRGAACGAGTCCATGTCCGATTAAGTTTCTGTGTTTTTGTGAGTGTGATCGTTCCTTTTATCGTCGTCAACTGATTTTCTCTCTTGTGACAAACATGCAAACAAGAGAT